TTTTTTTTTTTTTTAAACTGAAGTTTTCTTATCTTCAGTAAATTTTTTCAACTTTTGATTGCTGAAATACTCAGCTTCATTTCTACTTTGGCCTTTCTCTGGAACACAATCATATTTCTAGCGCTCTTAGGCTGTTAATGTTTATCTGGATGTCTTTCACAAAGTATTACCTGAGATGATCTCATAAAGAGTTCCTGAATATCCAGCTCATCTAATAAGAGTGTCCTTCCTATGCGGTGCACCGCCATGCTTACGTGGGACTTGCTGTAGGGAATCTTCAGCAGCTTTTTTATGTTCTTAGAAAAAATAAGGAAAAATAATTTAGAAAGACCTTTTTAGAGTTATCTGTAATTTCAAATTTCAATTTCATTCATCTCAAGGTTATACAAACTGTAATTTACACAAAGAGCTACATAGAAAATAGACCTTTAAAACCAGAATCACTACACTTTATGAGCCATGCTAACATGTTAATATAAACAATGATCAAAGATTTATTTTTACAAGATAGAATTTCTCAAGGGTAAGTGCATACAGATAACACTATTGCACTGACCTAAGCTTTTAGCATATCAGAAAAAAACTGCCAACTAAAGATCAATAGAATTTACTGGAAATATGATTATAAATTGGTAACATGCAGTATAATCCATTTCAATTACTATTATTAAAATACAGCAGTTCATATTAGTATTAATATCACTACCATTGTTTTGGGGACTGTTCCCTCCACTTTGAAGAAAGACCATGTGGTAAGGAGTAATAATTTAAAAACAAAAAAGGTATCTGAAAATCAGATAATCGTATCATTTCATCGGGAATTTCTCAAGACTGTGAAACAGAACATGTAACACCTAGTATAAAACACTCATGGAGTTCCACTTAAACAATAAGAAAACTTACTTCAGAATCAGAGACAACATCCACATCATTTCCCACAGAATCAATAAAGTCATATGCCATGCCAAAACTACCAAAGGAAAAGAGGCCACAAGTTAAAGGTGAACAGAACACCAAATATCCTTGCTTCTAGGATTCACATTTTCCACATTCTAACATCTCTGAAATCAACATGTAGTAGGTTGACTGGTGTTTCCTTTTCAGAATATATAAAACAGTGTCTCAAAATAAAAAATATCTTAAGATTTAATGAAACAGTAATAATTATAAGAAGTCATTAGGAAAGATTTAGAATAAAATACTTAGTGGGTATTTTTATTTTTGTCCTCTGAAACTCAAAAAAATCTCTTCCAAGAGAAAATTGTTTTAAGATTTTACTCTTTTTAGATAAAACAAACATTTATTATGATTTTAGTTTCTAGGACTGGACTGTTTCTAGAAAGATATCGTTAAAAAAAAAAATGAGATAAATGCACCTGACACCAATTTAGAAACAAGGAGAAAAAAGAAGAAATGTGTGCATCCAACTCATTCCAGGTACCATATGAGATACACCTATAGTCTATAAGGTGGAGAAGTAGCAGTCAGGATACTTACCCAGGAGTGTCTAATATTGGAGCATGCTCTTACAATCTATCATATGCTCTAAGTAAATTACTTAAACTTTCTTAGCTTATTTTCTCACATGCAAAATACTTTACAGTATCTAGTTCAAAAGATTGCTATGAGCATTAAATGAGATAAAATATCTAGCACTGTGTTTCTACAGTCAATATAATTATTTAAATCATCTCATAACAATATAATCTATTAAGCTTTCTTCTAAAAGAAGATATTTGAGTTATTTCCAGGTTTTTGCTAGAATAAATGCCACAAATAAACAATTTGTATACATAACTATAACTTTCTGAGGCAGTAAGGACCCCACATATTAAATGGCCTACAAGAATAGAGACATAAGTACATTTTTCTCTGTAAGATGCCAGGCCATTCTCTCATTTTTAAATACCACTAGCAGAATTCTTGGGTTCAGAGTCAAAGGTGTAGGTCACCCAATATGCTGGAATTTTACATCAGGTTTTTCTAATCTACACAATATACCATAATTCAAAGAAAAACTCCAAAGAACAGATCAGACCATGGTAAGGGTTTCCTTCTCATGTACCACCCTGATTTGTTTTGTTTTCACATTCAAAAGTTAGCAAATTAGCTAAAAATAAAATGGTCCATTTTTAGTAAAAAATTTAATATATGTTAATAACATGATGCAGACATGAAAGGAACACATGAAGTTGGTATCTTCATATTATTACATATTCTGCAGGGGAGAAAAAGCTTTGAAAGTCAAATGTGATCTTTAGGAAAAAGAAAAAAATCCCAGCAAGTTAATGTACATCACAAATTAAACTGGAAAGTATTAAGAGTTTTAAGTGGGGTAAAGGGGTAGGTTAAAAATGCCATCTATTAATATTTACCTTGAAAACGGCTTGCTTTTCTTACTATTGCCAAGAATGGTAGTTCCTGCTGGCCCTAGTTTGGCACTCTCTCGTAACCAGTTGGCAGGTGGGAGTTTCAAGTCTGTCTTCTCTTCCAGGCGTGCAAATGCTGTTCGAGGAGGGGCGGAAGAATATTTCACCACAGCTCGGCTCTTCACTTCATTGCCTCCAAGAAATAAAGCTGATCCCTAGTTAACATATTGAATGACACTATAATGAACACTCTTAGGAATGAAAATCTCAGCTTTACAAAAAGAACACAGGAACTCGCTACCTCCAGCTTCACCGGGAACGCGTGTCGCCTGTCACTAACAATACTGATTTCAGCACACAGTTCCATATTTCCTAGCTCTTCTTCAATAGTTTCAGAGGAGGAAAAGACGGATGCGTCAAGGAGCACGATGGCTACGGTCTTCGGCCGGGAAGCAGGCCGACCACCCCGCCCCGTTCAATGTACTTATGTAAAACCCAGAAGCAGAAGAGACTGAAGAGCGCCCTGTGGGTCCCCGCAGGATCCCACGACGCCGCTCCCCGGGTCCGAGAAACAGCTCGTGTCCACACTGCGCGCCGCCTACCGAGTGGTTTCGGGTGATTTCAGGGCCTCTTTGGCCAGCAGCCAGGGCCAACTGCCCGTCGGTCCCCACAGGAGCGCGGCACCGGCCCGCCCTCGGAGACCCGCCCGGCGCACCCTCCCGCCGCCCCCCGGGCTCCGCCGCCGCTCGGACCCACTCTCACGCCGGGTGCTCCGGGGCGGAGATGGCGGAGCGCGCTGTGGCGGCGGCGCCGGGGGGAAGCGAGACGGCTGAGGCTCTCCACCTGCACGCCCGGGACGGGCAGCGGCCTCCGCTTCGCGCCTCGGAGGTGACGGGGGCGTGGGGGGGGCGGCGGAGGCTGCGGGGCCCGTGACAGCGTCCCTGGCCGCGCGGCCCGGGGAGCCCGGGCAGGTGCGGCCCCGCGGGAGACTTACCTGCGCGCAAGGTTCCTCGGAATCTCCCTGGGACAGGAGGCTCAGCCCGCCTCGAGCACCGGTCCCCGCCGGCGGAGCCTCGGCGCCGGCCTCCTTGAGGTCCTCCATCACTGCGGCCCAGGACAGGCGCGGCCCAGCGGCAGCCGAGGGGCGGCACCGGGAACCGGGCCCACGGGCGCAGCAGCTCAGCCGACCAGGTGCAGGAGACGCTCCGCGAAGAGCGCTTCCGGCCCCTGACAGGAAGGCTTGCGGTGACGCGGCCAAATCTCGCGATCTCTGCAACAGAGGCTCGGCCCCGCCTCCTGCTGCGGAGACCGCCTCCGGGGGCGAGAGCGGCGGCGCGCCTGTCAGAGCCGCTCCGGGAGACCACTTCTCGCGGTATTTGCCGCCCAGGCTCCACCCCTCGCACGCCGCTAGTCTTTGTTGGCATAGAGTTCTTGGTGCCGGAGCTTGGACCCAGTCCGAATCCCGAGGTCCTCTCTGCGTGGGAGGTGAACTACCCTAAAGGGTTTTGAGAGTTAGCGGCGTCAGCACGCTCCCTCCCCGGCCTGCGGTGCACGCCGAGGCCCAGAAGGGAGAGGCGCATCCAGGTGCGCCGGTCGCTGCAACCCGGGCCCTGCGGCGGCCCGTTCTTCCTGCATCACAATGCAGGAGTGCAGGGGCGGGGGCTTCGCGGGCCGTGGGGCGCCGGGCGGACTCTGAGCTGGCAGCACCTTCTCCGATGGTAAACTGCTTAGCTGCGCAGGGAGCGTCTGCTGAGAACCCGGGCGAGAGCCGAGCCTCCGACGTCAGAGCGCCTGGGAACACCTGGGCTTCTAGCGGGCGTGCGCGTTCCGACTCGGTGGCTCCGGGAGGGGCCCGACCGTCTGCATTTCTCCCGAGCTCCCAGGAGGTGCTGCCAGTTCCTAGAGTAGCAAGGGGGTGGAGAAATAGCTCGGGTTGTTTAAATCTTGGAGAGCCTGGACTCTTTCGGACGAATCAACTAATATGAAACAGCGAAACGTCTCGAAAATTTGGCAAATCTTGATCGGTTTTTCAGTAATAAAATTTTTTTTTTTAAATTAAATTTGCTTTGAAGTATGCCTTAGTTTGTAATTTACATTTGACTAATAGTGTGCATCTTCAGGAATCCTTGTGAATGAGCAAGCCTAACTTACTTTGTTTTCAAATGTAAAAAAAAATTATGGATTAATATACGATTTGACAAAATATTTTGGAGCTATTTAACATGTATTGATTTTAATCTTTACAATCATTCGTTCTATTTTGCTGTCAATTTTTTTTGCAAGTTATACATTATTCAGTAAAATGTTGAACTCATATCTAAAACGGGATGGTTAAACTTATTTTGGGTACCTAACAAAACCTATGCAATCATTACCTCATTTTTCAAGAATATTCAAATTATAAATTGTACATATCACATTAAATAAGTCAAATTTGTAAAAGTAAATATGCATTATGATCCCAGTCTCAAAAACATCTATTTCTATGTCTTTGTCCACATAAACAGATCTGAATGGAAAGATGGAGTGATTAAATTTTTGTTCTTTCAAGTCTCCCCTATTTTCTTTCATTTTGTAACTAGCTATAATTTTATTAAGCTTTTGCACGTATGTAATTTAGCTTTTGATAATATTTCAATTTTGTTGTGTAATTCTATGTAAGAAGTGAGGTAGCAGGAATTCTTTTCTCAGAACTCAAATTTGTGCATGCCTGGAAAAGGGAGTTCCTGGATCTTTGTTTATAATGGCTGGTGGGAAGATGGGCTGGAAACCACTGGTGAAAAGCCAGAGAGGAGTGAGACAGAATGAAGATCTTACACAGAAAAAGGAAGACTTGCAGCCGGGGAGAGGCTGAGGGAAATGAAGGCCTCACCCCCCAGGAGCTACTTGAGGGATGCCTGGCCAGGGGCTGTCTGCAGCCATCCACGGGCTGGGACTAATTTAGTAAAGGAGGGTGATCCCTGAGGCCTGCAGAAACTGGGCACATCTGGGTTGCATAAAGTTTGAACAGTCTTCTAACTCCAAGGCATGTTTTTCTATATTCAAATACTCTAACATGCTGTTTTTTAAAAGTCATTATTGTTTCTAAAGTAAATTACTAAAACATTCCACAATTTCAAATTTAAAGACCCTCGTTCATCTTCCTTTTTATATCATATCAGGATATCCCACCCCCAGCTCAGGAGGGATGGCCTCCTTCATCTATGCCCTGTCAGTTGCACTGGTTCTGGGACCTAGCCAGGGTGCTCAAGTGCTTGCCTGCTGCCCTCGCTGCCTACTAGGTGTTTGTTGAGTTAATGAGCTGTCCAGAATGGCTGCTGCGACAACTTGTTCCATAAGCTCCACAGGAGCTTTTCCTCTGCTTTAGAATACCTTTCCCTGCCTTACCTGGCTTATTCCTACCCATCCTCAAGATTCAGGTATCATCTCTAATAAGTCTCCTCACACCTCTCCAGACTTAACCCTCAGGGTCTTTTTTTTTGTTGTTGTTCTCTTCACTTGTATGGCTTTATCCTGCACTTGTCATATTATAGAAAAATTACCTGTTTGTATCTGCCTCTCTTGCTGCCTGTGAGCTCAAAGGCGGGTGTCCTGTCTGATCATCTCCGTTTCACCCACACCAAGCACAGCAGCAGCTGACAGAACTGTTTTAGCCCTTAGGCAATGTAGGGAAAATGACTAGGGATGACAGGCTTTAAAAATGCTTATCAAAATGTATGAGACATGAACACAATGTTGTTGACTCCAAAATATTTTTTAATCGGCAAAATCAAAGCTAAGACTGTCTAATGAAGTAACTCTAAAACATTGCACTGTCAATGACATTAATTATTAAAGTCAGTATTGACATACAGTTTGTTCTATTCTAAAACAATTTGTAGGTTAGACTTCTCAGTTTGTAGAATTCCTCCCAGCATGCAGGATGATTTGGGCAAAATCCCAGTCAATCCTAAATTCATTTTGTTATTCACAGTGTACAGTGTTTTCCAAGCAAAATTAGAAACCCTTTCAAAAACGTTTACAATAAGACAACTACATGAAAGGCAGATGTGGTTTGGGGGTGCTGCAGAAAATAGGAGTGCCCAGCATATTCAATGCCTGTACAGCTACACCAGCAGAGAATGCCAAATTCCAAAACTTCTACACTCAGGCAAGTTTGAGGTACTTGCTCTTCAGTTTGCCACAGCCTCCTCTATGACCTACTATCTTCCGCCTAACTAGCCTCATTAATTTGCTTGCTGGATCCTAGAAGGATCTGTTTCTGATTCCTGATCCTAGACTGAGCTGGGAGAGGGCTTTGAGATGATCTGAGCCAACCTCTTCCTTCAGAAGAGAGCAATGAACTGAACCAAGAAGGGAAAATAGAACTGACTGGCTGAAGATCGTACAAAACTAGTAAGTAGCGAAGCCAGGACCAGTTCTTAGGTTTCCTATTCAGGCAGCCTTCTAAAACTTTTCATTGCAAGTATAGTCCACAGTTAATTTGTTTCATAACTACCTGTTTAAAAGGCAGATCTTCCAGCCACCAGCAGATTCTAAATCAGTATCTTTGGGGGCGCTGCTAAGGAATCTGCCTTGTTTGGTGAGATGCTAGTTCTAGCGGACCTTGGTCTGTAACTACCACCTTGGCAACAGGGTCTCCTAGAATGATCCTTTGGATGCAAGAAGAACTATAACACCTTTTAAAATCTGCAAATAACGGCAAATTTAAGGTTTACTAAACATAAGATTAACACAGGAGCCCTTCCTTGGGCCATGGTCTATCAGTCAAGTGAGATTTGGTATGCCTCTGGAACAAATGATCTCAAAATGTCAGAAGCTTATAGCTAAAGTTTACAGGTAAGATACAAGCGACTAAGTTAAATCTGAATTTCAGATGAACAGTGAAAAAAAAATTAGGGTGAGAAACATACTGAGAATGTAGCATAAGTATGTCCCATGCAATGTTTGACACATACTTATGCTAGTCCGAGTCATCTTGGTTCTGGACTGAGGCTGATAGTGCATTGCCAGTTGGAGTGGTAGAGAGACAAGGAGAGATTGGGAACTGTCTGCTATCTCATAAATCCTCCCATCAAAAGTGACAAACATGGGCTGGGGTTGTGGCTCAGTGGTAGAGCATTCACCTAGCACATGTGAGGCCCTGGGTTCGATCCTCAGCACCATATAATAAATAAACAAACAAACAAACAAACTACAACTAAAAAATGGAAAAGATTTAAAAAGAAAAGAAAGTGACAAACATTACTGCCATTCCATTTTTTGAGGGGTGGGGATACATCACAGGGCCAACCCTGGCATCAGTGAGGAAGGAAAGACTAATTCCCCCCTGCGGAGGACGTTGGCTATTGGTGACCATCATGCAGCCTGCACCAAGGACAGGGTGGCTTGAGTAGGCTGCTGCCAGATGCCATCGCCTGGCTGAATTTGGTAAGAAGACATGGCTGCTAGGAGGATCTTTTTTGGAGTTTTGTGATGACAGGAGGAGTGACCTTGAACGCCTCGTGTGCCACAGAGGTCACAGATCTTCTGTGAGGAAGCACTCAGAAGAGTTGTCGAGCTCAAAAGAAAGTGGCTGTTTTCTTTCACAAAGAGCGCCCCACATTTTCTCTTCTTGTCTGTGATGACAAGTAGCTGTCATTAGGATGCTACTGAGGAGAAAGTCTCACGAAAACAAACAGACTTAATGTGTTCCTTCAAGACGAAGGTGCTGCTTTAGCTGCGAGGGAGAAAGCGTTTGGCTTTCGGAAGAAGTTTATCCTATGGAGGCAGCACCTTTGAAAATAGATGTTTGGAAAACTTTCCAACATTATGTGATTTTGTTGCCAAAAATGATGTGTGTTGCTGTTAACAGCTCGTATCTGCACACCCAACTTAGAAGTGAAGTTTCTCACTGCTTGGGGAAACCTTCCCGAGGGGTAGCTGGGTAACCAAACATGGAGGCTTTCTTGGGAGGTCAGTGGCTGTTGGTCTGGTCCAGGAAGGGCAGGTGCTAAGGGAGGGGACCCGGACGAGGTCACACAGAGGCAGCAAGCTCCTATGCTTCTCGGCATCAGGGTTAGGAATTGTAAAA